TGAAAAGAAAATGTTGAAGTTTTTACGCTTTCGAGTGATCATTTCATTGTCTAGAAATTTTGAAAAGATGTTGATTTTTTAAAGAGCGTATGAGTAAATGAAACTCATTTCATTGTCTTATCGCTGTTAATTGTCATTATTGTTTGAAAGAAATCTCAGTACTTATAAAATAAACAAATAACTTCATGGTTGGTTCGCTTGTACGATTTTTATTCACTTGTTATGAAGAATCGCAAACTCACTCGCTCGAAGACTCGCTCGTTCGTTTGCGATTCTTCACAACTCGTGAATAAAAATCGTACGCACTCACCAACCATGAAGTAATCTATATTTACCACATGTATTAAATAGTCAATCGCTACTATAGAGCGTATTCTCTCACGTGTCCAGCTGCCATGCAAATTTATGGGAACAAAAGAAATTGTTTACATAGGAAAAGAGTTGAATTCCCACAGGATTGGTTTGGTACACCAACATGACCGCCATTTCATTCTTTTGTTTTGTAAAAGACTGCCCCATAGAGTAGTTGAAGGCATATCTTGCGGGCTTAGCAGTAGAGACAGTATTGGCACAAGAGGATTTGCGCTTATTGATTGTAACTTCTTTCTCTTTTGTATGTTGTGATTCACTGTTTTATGTGGTTTTATTTAGAGTCCTTTGTCAATCCGCCTGTTCCCGGAACAGATGTTGGCTCTGAAGTTGTGTCATTCACCGCCTCGTTTCCATACGAAGAAGAAGAATCACCTCCCCCTCCCCCAGGTGTGTGTTTAGTTAAAGCGTGAGAGTCCCGAAGTTAGCGTTGTATTTTAACCTTTATAACGAGTCCCTATTCAACGGACGCGTGTATTGAGCACACAATGGCACTAAATGAAATATATTTAAAAAGTTTTATTGCTAAAAATCTCAAGTTTCCCGAGGCCGCACTGAATTTACGATGCAGCACTGGATCTTGCTTTTCACAGTGTTTACTGAAAACTGATAATTCCATACATTTGAAAGAACAGGTATAATAGTGGTTTCACTGTATTCTGCAGTCCCGTAGTCAGTGAAAGTGATAGCGAAGTGCTGCAGTCGCAGAATTGTTTGGCGTATATGCATTACGGTGCGGACCGCCGTTAGGCTCGGTTACCACCGTTCTCGGTGTCCCCAATTTGTCCCCAATTTGTCCCTAATTTTAAAACTGCGGTTCTCGGTAGCAGGATAAGATGAGGAATATTTCTATAGGAGAGTATTTTCATATTGTGATTTAGGTTTTTTTTTCTTGAGAAACCAGGACAAAGTGCAGCCTTTTATATAATTTCGGAATCACTGGTTAAACGTCCTAGGAAGTCAGATAAATCACCAAATTTAACAAGTTTCCGACAGTGGTTTGAAATGAGATGTTCTTAATTGAAACGTATAACTCTGTCTATTTCCGGTCGACATCGCCGTGGAAAGATCTGTGACGCCTGGAAAATATCAGCGGTGGGGTAATTTAGTCCTTAAACATGCGATGTCTACCTGGTCACGATAAGCATTGCCATACGTAACTATTTCTTTTTTTACAATAACTGCAGAAATTCTCGTGCGCTCATTGGCTAATTTTCATTGTCAATATGCGGACAGATACATGAATTTATAGTTTATGCGATGCGTCAACGAGCGAGAACGGACAATTTGACAATTTGTTATCGTAAAAAAACAATACGATAGCGGATCCACTCGGCTATCGTCTCGTGTATCCACAGCTACTTTGACAATGTTATGACGAAATTCATGATCACTAAGAGGACAGACGCATGAAAAACTGACGTCGATTTGTTAAATGTCACACAGGTACAGACGATCTCCCTCCTCTCCCTCCAGTGGAATCCTCTGCACCCCCACCTCCACCCCCAGAACCAGCAGAAGCCCCACCCCCTCCTCCTGGTGATGAAATGCCAACAACTTCAGTAGTAAAACCTGCGTCACTTTCACGACCTGTGGTCGACTACTCCGATTTGGACATGGCTAGTGCAAGTCCCCCTCCTGTGACTTTGCTCGCAGCAGTGCCACAAACTACTGGAATTCAATTACCAGCGCCGCCTCAGGTTCGTGAGATTTATATCAAGAGTGATTTAGTGTTTTGCTCGTCTTGCCGTTGTTTTCTTAACTTGCCTTTTTTTTTCTATTTAGGAAACGACTGATGCTGTAATATCCTCACCGGCGACAGTATCGACAAAACCTAAAGTCAAGAAGAAGAAAAAGGTGAAGTTTTTAAAAAAGTTGCTTGCTTTAGGTTCCATTAACACTTAGCCGGAGAACTTTGAAAACGCAGTTTCATTTCTACGGTTAGGCCTATCGTCCACACTAATCCGTCACGAAAACGGAACTTTTCGAAAACGCTCTTCAAACCGGAGGAATTTGAAAACGCCGGCTTTGCGTTTAGTGTGGAGAGAAAGCATTTTGAAAACGGAGCTTTCTGAAAACGATGACGTCACGCTAATCACGTGACTTCCCTGCCCGAGTTTTTTTTCCCAACTCAAATCCAAAATGACTGGTGATTGTTGCGTTTTTAAACTCTTTCGGCGTAGTTTGGAGGAAAACATTTGATGCGTTTACAGAGTGAAACCTCCGTTTTCAAATACCTTCGGCGTGGTGTGGACAGGGCCGAAGTTGATACTGTCACACTAAAGACGTTCCTTGCGTGACGGCTGAGCAGTTAACTGTCACATAGGTTTTCTGTTTCACTGTGATCTTTCTCCTCTGGTCACTACTGTTGTAAGCAGATGTCGTGTGACTACTTCCATAAATGTTCGAAAATTTAAGGTGGCTCTGAACCCCATGCAGAATTGTTTCAAACTTTGCCAAAAGTTGCATCTTATCCTGCTCATCAAAAATTTGAAAATAATAAAAAAATAGTTTTACCGCGTGGTTTTCGAACTATGAATACTTAAAGCGAAAATTAAAGGCGTTTTTAGCAGGTGATGCTGTTGCTATGGTAATCTACTGTCTCACGAAAATGATACCAATGTGTTCACCAATGACTGGACAGGATTTTTTATACCAAACTTGTAGCATCAACTTAAGGCTGGTTTCCATGTGATCGCAGACGATCGCAGACGATCGCAAGCGATCGCAGAGCCGACTGTTGCATACATTTCGGACAGCGGAACTGTCAAAATTACACGCGTGTTGTGCTGGCGGGAAATCGCAGCAAACAATATAGCGGACGTTGAGGAGGAAATTTTGCTGCAAACAAATTTATTTCTTCTTTTAGTCAACCTATTTTGAAATTCTCTTGGCACTGCATCTCGCCCCGATCCAGAAGGTAGCGTTTTCAATCGCTTCAGATAACGACCATACGCAGTTCTTATGTTGCGGAATTTGACCTCCGCCTCAGCCGCCGATAAATTAAATTTCTCCCCGATTTTTTCCCAGCAGTTAGCCTTTTCGTTTTGGTCTTTGAAATCTTTACTGTTACGGTGGTTATAATGACGTATCAAAATCTTGGAAAGTCTTGGAAATTGCTGGGAACTGTTTTGAACCACCTTAAAACAAAAACATTTATTAGGTGAAATATTCCGTTGCATAGGCAGTGTTCCAGATAAGTGAGGGGTCTCGGGTCATAAACCCGACAAGATCAGCTACATGACCTGACAAATAAAGTGGAAATTTATAATGATTTGGTGGAAGCAGCGGGAATTGACCCGTTGGAATTCTGGAACCGTTTCTGGAACCCTACGTACGGATCGTTCTGACCGTTTCTATCGAGCCAAATATATTATCTACCCAGTAAAAGCAAAGATGAGGTTTTCAATCAACGTTTGTTGCTTGTTTTCCAGACGTCCAAAGTTGGTTCGGCGCTTCTTTCGTCCAAGGCACGGAAAGTTTCTTCTCTGGTTCAGAAGTGGCAGAGTATAAAACAACAAGAAGAACCAGCACTGGACAGCAGCGAAGACGAGGAGGAACATAATGATCCTGTGCGACAAATAGAAGAATGGAAGAAAGTACACTTAGAGAGGTATTTGATTGTTTAACGTCAAGTCATCGATTTCGATTTATTTAACTTGAACGCTTTTTTGAGATTATCTTATGTTGCAAAAAACCTTCAAGAATTAACTGATTTGAAGCCTTTGGCTTGGGTTCTCTCTGTGCCGTCTTGAGGACGAAATGACGCGTGATTGATTAATTGACGGATTGATTGATTGATTGATTGATTGATTGATTGATTGATTGATTGATTGATTGATTGATTGACCCAGTCATTCATTTGTTCGTTCGTTCGTTAGTTCGTTCGTTAGTTCGTTCGTTAGTTCGTTCGTTAGTTCGTTCGTTAGTTCGTTCGTTAGTTCGTTCGTCAGTTCGTTCGTTAGTTCGTTCGTTCATGGAGTAATGACAGGAAGTTTTGGTTTAAGAGACGTTTGTATGACGCTTGAATGCAAGCTAAAATGCTATGTACGACATACATGCCTATATTTTCTCAATCCGGCAGTCTGCGCGCCAAAAACTCGTAATTCTAACATGGCCAGGAGGCTTTCTGCCGAAAAGTACAAATTTTCTAAGATTCCGTTGTTTGTTAATTTCCATAAGAGACTTTATACAAAGAAAGCAAGACCAAATAAAGACGTTCGGCATCTTGGAATCTGCGTGTTTTATATGATAAAGAAACAAAACCAAAGGTTATTGACGACATCTATACGTCTGTCGTCCAATTGATCATAAGTAAAAACCAATCTAAATGCGAGGCTAATTTGAGTTATTATGTAAAGGTATTAGTATTACAAGTGGCTTGGATCAAGTAGAACCCCATTTCAATCTAACATTTTGCTTTCCCCAGTGGTCAGGCAGCTTACAATCCTAACTTTGAAGAAATCAAGGGGGACTGGCGAGAGAGAATCCGACAACGACAAGCCAAGGCTAAGAGTGGGGCTGCTGCTGACCAGAAAGACACGTAGGTTCAAAACAGTAGTTGAAGCAAGAAAGAAGCTTGGTGTCCGGTCCTCCGCGTCACTAGCGGCCGCTTGGAGGCTAAACGGCTAAACGGCTAAACAACAAGGAAAAGCTTAGACTTCACTCCACAGAATTGGAGAAAGGAAAGCTGTTGAGATGTATTAAACATCCCAGACTCGTAGAGACTGCAGCAAATGTTTTCCAAGTCTAAACTTCACTTTCTAGTGAGCATCTTTATCCCCTTAGCCCTGATAGATATCAACATATAGATTCTCCTTACCGTTCCATACATATTCTTATGCTGCTAGTTGGGAGAATGTGATGATTCAGTACGTCTGTTCTCTCGGTTATCAGTTTCGTAATTCTTATTACCTGTACACCTGTCTCTGCCTTGATCTTAAGAAGAGAGCCGAGATGTTGATCACCGTTAGCGGATAAGACTGTGTATAAAGAAGTGTAGTTGCGTAAAACGTGTATGTAAAACTGCGATTTGTAGCTCTACAGTTTGTAATTTCTTCAGTTTTTAGTTGTGCACAAGTTTACGGAATGCGTCAAATTAAAAGGCCGCTCCTCCAGGAGTCAACGAGTCCAGTTCTGGTCCACTCTCTGTCACGCAACGTTGCGTGACAGAGAGAGAGGGCCGGAACTGGAGTCAGCCTGTCCCTTCATGTTTAGCCGATCTAGCAAGCGCTGGAGCTTGAGGATTTATACCATGTATACCAACGCTTGAGCCACCTGTGGTGAAACCGTGAACACCAGAGATATTTATGGATGCTATTGCGTAGCAAGGGAAAAGCCAATTAGCGTGAGTCAACTAAACCGCTAACAGCAATGGTAATTTGGTTTGTGATTTTGAGGTTTGCTCTTGTGTCCTGGACTTAATTGCGATTGGCCAGCGTACAATTGACCTGTCAGAATCAAATCAAAGTGTTCACTGTTTTTTGACTCGCATAGTAATTTCCCGCGCATTTAGCCTGCGTAGCAAGCGTTTCGTAGGAAAGGGCCTACGAGCAAAGGCTGGCCGCGCGAAAATTGGGTAAGAAAATCGACGGGTCACAGGGGATGGTTGGACAAGCGAGGGAATGTATTCCCTCGCTCGTCCGAACACCTTCTGCTTCATCGTTTGTTTTGCTCTCTGTCCAATTTGCGCTAGGTCAGAATGCGGAAAGAGCTCCTTGAAGGTGAGCGCGTGCTACGCATTATCAAACCAAAATTAGCACGCTATAATAAGCCAATCAATATGGATATGGGTTATTGACCAAGCGAGGTCAAGATGGCTGGATATTGGCCAAGTTCTTTTATTTAGCGTGTTTATGGACCGAGACGGAGTCTAAGTTCATAAACGCAAGTTTACCTTGCCCGCTGAGGGAGCTAGCTATATGTACAGTACTGCTTCGAAGTTGGATTCTATTTTTTAAAGTACTGGTAAAGCTATGGCCGATAAAATGACTGCAAAACTCCACAGAAATAGCTATAGATCTTTTTACTGGTTTTTTAAGAACCCAAATTGATCAGTCTAGCGCTCTCTGAGTCAACCTCCACAGACACCGGATACCACTAAATCCGGCCGTATTGGGTTATATTCTTTGGTTACGTTTTTGGATTAAAACGCCACTAAGTTCTGTGTGCTGTTGATGTCTCAGAAGATAATATCCGTCGGTAACCGATCCCTGCAGCCAGAGAGCCAGTGTTTTCCCAGGGCAAAAACTTGTTATCACAATTCATTCACTGTTATTACAATTCATTCACTGTTATTTTAACCTCTCAAGAACGGCAATCAGGCCACTAAAAACTCGTCTCAACTGCCAAAATAACCTCTCGAACATCTCGACAACGCCCAGTTTATAACGGTGCCCACACAGAACTCCATTTCTTATTGGAAAAGGTCACCAGACTTGATTCATATCGCGTGCCGTCGGCGTCTGTTTCTGTTAAGTTTCTGTTTTATTGACAGATTTTTATTTATACATGCTAACATAAGCACTTTAAAAAAATGTTGCACCCAAAGCAAAATAGGTGTCATATTACAACCTTACCTCCTCCTAGGTGGCCGTTTTGGAGAGCAAGTTCGACTGTATTATGTTCTGGCTAGTGTTTCTCTATGTCTAGTGAATTCTCTCGTTCTCCCGAAGTTCTGCCAATTCCGGGAATCGTGTGTTTATCGGTAAAATAGAAAACAGGTTTGGCAACTCTATTGACCAATCAGAGCGCGCGTAGTTTCTCAGTTATTTTATAAATGAATGTATCTATGTGTAAAAGACAATCAGTTGTGACACCCGCGCATATGATAACAAAAGCCTGTTGTGATGTGCGTCCACATTGTGCAATTTTTAGTTTTGAAATTTCGAAGCCTTCAGCTGAGTGTTATCGCTTTGCAACAGCTGAGCTGCGAGCCAAATTCTCTGGCTTTGAGTTTGAATCGAAGGTAAGTTTTGCACTCGCACTTGGAAAATCAGGTGAACACAGTCGCGAGGACATGCTATGCGTGCATTGAGATATTTAAAATTTGCATTTCTAGCTAGCGGTGGATCCCAGATAAAAGTGCGACTGAAAGGTTTTGCATTGTACAAGGCTTTGTACTGCAAATGTGTACAATTTGTACTCGAACTCTCAAAACGTAAACGGCGATGGAAAAATTCTTTGTTGTTGGAGCTGCCCGTAATAGAATCTCCCAAACCGCAAACTAGTGGCAAAAGGTATTAAAATTTTGGTGTTCGGCCCGAGTTCACCAGAATCTTTTCGATTAGCCCAAGGCCACTAAAAGAGCCACTGGAACTCTGCTGGTTAAGCTTCGCGAAAATATCTGAGAAACTCGGTGCATGTTTTCGTAGAAGCGGTAAAACCAACAAGCTCCGATAAGGAGGTGTGGCGAAGTTTCTTCGCTATCATTTATACCGACGAAACTTGTATCTCATTGCAATCCGACGACGAGATATTTTAGATTATGTAATTAGCAAGATGCCTAACTTTCTTCAGATGGTAATCATGCATGCGATTTTACGAGTCTCGTCTATTTGCATGCATGAAGGATAGTTCATGCATGAAGTTGTATGCACAATAGCGCCTTTTGACATGACGTTACGGGAGCCGTATTAATTAATAGGTGTTTCAAGACAATAAAACGGCAGCCATGTTCGTGTTCCAAACCAATCCTGTGGGAGTTAAACACCTTTATTATGTAAACGCTTTCTTTTGTTCCAGTTATCTGGCATGCATGGCTGCTGGCCACGGAAGTGAAATCGCTCTATTAGTTCACATGTAGACAGGATGCGTTAAACCCCCGGCGGGGAGGGGAGGCGGGGGAAAGCGGGGACGTATTCCCAGAAAAATTGGGTGGTGTGTAGCCCGCGATTTTCCCTACCCTATTCACGACCTGACCAGAGATTCGATACCCTATTTATGACCTGACCCTTAAATCGATACCCTGTCTCAGACCTGCCTTAAAATTAGTTCCCTAGTTCAGACCAATGTTAAACTGCCGTAGACATAAGGGATTTTGTTGATGGTCTTATCGATGATGATGATGAAAAACAAGCTTTCATTTTTTTTTTTCATTAAAAAAAGATACCCAATTCGAGATTAGAGTGCAAAAACCATGCCCTATTTATGACCAAACTGGCCAAAATCAAACGGCTGAAAAACCATACCCTTTGGGGCCGCACATACCTATATAGCCCGGGGGCGTTAATCTTTGGGTAATTAGCCTGAGAACCCGCTTACGTTTTAGGGATCACACGTGCGAGCACAAGGAGCCGAGAGGACACGGGGGCGGGGGGGGACGGGACTCCCATGTAGAAAGGACAAGCGTGCTCGTCATACTTTATAGGGTTAAAAAAGCGGTTCTGTTACCTCTTAGGCCGTTCAGCCGTAAAATGTCCACAGCGGGAGCTTTTACGGTACCTTTTAGGGTATTGAGAGGAAAAAAAGATACGATAGGAGATAATGTGTTGTTTTAGAAGTGATACCTCTTAGAGGTAAAAATATTTCAAACCACGCCCACAAAAGAGGATCTTGGTACCTCTTAGGTTCTTTTCAAATTTCCGACGAGCCCCCCCATCCTTTTTATTTGGGAACCTCCCTCCCGGGAGGGAAATTGCTGCAGAGGATTCCTATTTGACCGTATTTTCAGTGTAATTCACCGTTCAAAAGATCGTGTTCACTGTCACGCCATTAAAAAAAAAATCAAAACCATTCGGTGGATGATATGAAGTCAAGAAAACGCGATCTTATAGAGGATAAATAAAGGAAGACTCTTCTCCACGTTTTAGGTCTGTGCGCTATCCCAAACTTCAGATATTTGTCAAAATATTTACAGAGTCAAGTATGAAGCCGCTATATTTGTGTACCTCCGTGGAACACCAATTATAAGGCGGGCGGAAAATCGGTGTAACATCTGGAACTTACTGGTCACTGTACTCTGGCGCTTACGTTTCGGATTTTTACTTTTCATCTCGTCGTTAACGATACGGGTAGCATTTTATTTCCATTTGTCAGTGCAACAATTGGCCGTTTTTATACTAAAGACGCTTTATCCGTCTGGACGAATTTGGGCAAACATTTGTAGTTCGTCTGGTTATGCGTCTCTAGTATAAAGACGGACACAAGACATATTATGCGTCGAGACGAACTATCTCTCGTAGTGCGTCGTTGGATAGTTCGTCTAGAGGAATAATGCGTTTTGTGCCCGTCTTTATACTAAAGACGCATAATAAGTCGAACTGCAAATGTTTGACCATGTTCGTCCAGACGGACAATACTTCTTTAGTACAAAAACGGCGAGGGCGCATTATACTTCTGGACGGATAATGCGTCCTCTAGTATAGAAACGGCCAATGCTGCATCGCAAGTTGAAAACCTTTGTTGCACCTATAACTAGCCATGTTCAAGCTTGCGCAACTTGTTACACACCACAACTTGCAAAACAGGTGTTAATTTACGCGCAGCATCACTTCTCAACGTACAATGAAACAATGTTGCGCGCGACAAGTGCTTGGATGCCTTAATTTTTCGTCTCATCCGAGTTTGAATCCAAGAAGGCGCTTGCTTGATCAGAATCCGCTCGCACGCCAAAATACGCCTGCATTGCAGGCTAGTGGAATCACTTTAATCTTGCTAGATTTTTTTTTGTTCTATGTAGTAAATAAATAAATAAATAATCTTTATTGTGTAGTTTGTCGTAGTTGATTGGAAAAGATGCTGTTGAGGTCCCTTCGAACGTTGAAGTTGCGGCCATCACGTCTGAACACCACAGCAACATGTTCCCTGGCAACAAAGGCACAGGAGCTTGACAGCGCCAGCGCGCAGTTCACCACATTAACACCGGCAGAACTCCAACCCAATACACCCTCAAGACTGGCGGGAAAAGAGTTTTTACCTGGTTCCACTGGAGATGGTTTCCCGAAAGTCTTATCACCTCCTTCGGAGACATTTCCTCACGCCGTGAGAGTAGAAACTCACTCCGTGGATGACTGCGTCGTCAGTTGCCGTCGATATCTACAAGAGAACCTTCCGCAGTACGGTGCTGTTCTGCTTCGAAACCTCCCACTGAAAACTGCCGCCGACTTTTCCAGTCTGTCCCAAAGGCTAGGGTACAAAGGGATGACGTATCAAGGTGGCGCGGTGGAACGGGAAGAGCTCGATAAGACTTCTGGGACATACACCGCCAGCGATGAGCCGCCCCAAGCTGTGATAGAGCATCATAATGAGATGGCTTATAGTCCAGTGTACCCCTCTAAGGTAATAAAGCGGACAAAGGCACAAGGGGTAGGGGTATCCCCACGGAGGGTCACTCAACAAAGTTTGTAATGGAAGGTTCCGCCCTGAGCTGCAAAGACTCAAAACCCTTACTCTTTAGTATGCCACGTATGACAGAAAACTGTAACCTTCGTCCACAGAAAATGGTACCCCGTTTACACACTTACAAAAGATACACTACTTTCCATGAAGTGTTGCCGTTGTAGCCGCCAAAAAATCCCTATATGAATCAGTAGCTAGGTCGAGATGTTTAATTACTACATGACAGTTCAAATTCCCACCCTTTTGTACTCCTTAAACTTGTGAAATCACTACCCTTTTACCCTGCACATCCAGCCGAGAGGAACGTGACTCATTTCTGGCGTAACTTGCCATTAAAGTCCTCTTAGGGAAGTTATCCCTTGCACTATTCGGTAGAAAATGCGGGGATTTCACAATTTTACAGTCCCTAAAAAAACTATTTAGGTAACAGACGAGAGATATAAGACCTTTGGCATAGGGAAAGCTTGTTATATTTTTTTACCACAGTAACACAGTTCGCTGACGAAATCTATAAAATGCTTACGAAAAGAACTAAAACTTTTCATAAATTGTGTTATTTTTCATAAATTCGGCATTCCACTGTGTTCTAGAAAGTTTGCTATGTAATGATCTGAAAACCAGGAACTAGAAGTTATTAGGGTTTCCACCGGTATACATGCTAGTTATGCAATGCTTTCGAGGGAAATACCATGGAATATCCCACTTTAGTCACTTGCATTGTCTCTATCCAGTGCGCGTCAGTCAAACTCTTCTTTGGAATCCAAAAGGTTTTCTCCGTTCCATGTTCCATGTATTTGTACACTATCAGAATTCCATAATGGTGCTATATATAATTTTTTTCCGTCCCATAATTTTGACACTCTGTTTCTTTTCATAGCTTTTGTTCTTTTGCCAACAAGAGCCGGGAGAAGACTGTGGAGGAGAGACGCCGCTGGTTAAAAGTACCGACATACTTTCTCGTCTGAATCCCAGGGTTCTTCAAACTTTCGCTGATAAGAAGGTGCGTTACGTTCGTTATGCTCCTCCGCGAGGGCCTGGTGCGTACCTTCCATGGCAGGATGTATTTATGACGGAGGATCCAAAGGTATGAAGAGTAACTTTGTAAGTTTTGAACGATGGGAGAGCTAGTATCTCATAATATTTATTTTTGTTTAATAATGCATTTATATCAATAAATAATAAATAAATAAATAAATAAAAAGAAACGGTATGAAAAGTGAGTGTGATGAGCGCTTAGTGTCTCTACTTATCATCACGAGCGGGAGTTTTCCAGTTTTGGCCTTCTCTCTGTCACGCAACGCTACACTTGTAACGCCTGTGTAACGAAACATCAGTTAATAGCAAGAGGCTATGATCTGATACAGGTTAAAATCTCTTGTCAATACGTACACATCCAGTTATATCAGCTACTTTCTAGGCTTAATATTTCTTCTGGTCGATACAGTCCCCGCTCAATTCAAGAGGAGTTTACGGAACTTTACATTCCCTCCCGGAAGAACCCCAGGCATTTTACTTTCTGAATTTTCCACTGGTCAAATTTCCAATCCCCGAGGCCAGAAATGGTGTTTAAATGCTCCACCTTAGAGCCATAAAAACAATCAAATACTCCTACCCCTGAGACAAAAATGACAAAAATGTATAATAGAAAAAAAAAAAGCAGACTTCACCCTCAAACATCTGCTTCGTTTTCAGCTTCGCAATGTATCCCAGGCATTGTTTTTGCATATGATTAAAATATGAAAGTGATTACATCTTTAGGCGCAAAACTTTATATTTAACTTCAAACACAACACCAAACTTTTGGAACCTTTTTTTTTCAAGCCACGACTACACAGGAAGAACGGCATTGTCTCTAGATGCCTTCAGCTTCTAGCTTCGCCATCATTTCACGTTCACCTGTTCAACTCTCGCGATATCCCTTCCATATGTTGTAAAAATTCCCCACCCCAACAACAACCAGTGACATCAAATTCCCACCTGCTAGGGCACTTCAAGAGGTCAAATGCCCGGGGTACTCCCGAGGGGGATGTTGATGTCTTTGTTTGATCGATGCGATACACTGTAGGGTCGAATTTGCCTGAATGTTGAGCGTACGTCGATAGACGAACTCTTAAGCATGCTAAACAGAAATTTAAGTTGTCTTGTTTCACACACGCACCATCTCTTTCATTATTCCAGACAGCGGAACATTTTCTACAGCAGAAAGGGTTCAGTTTTAAGTGGGAACCTTCCGGAGCTTTGGTTTATTGGCAAGTTCTGCCGGCTTTCCTCAAACACCCGGAGACTGGGAAGACTGTCTGGTTTAACCAGATTCAATCCCATCATGCTTCGCATTTACAAGGGATGCCAAGGTTAGTTCTTTAGTCCCGTTTCAGCGCACCTGTGTTGCATTGTAACTATGTAGTCACCAGTCTTCTTTGGTGCCGCTGTTTGGTTCGTCACGCAACGTTTGTTACGTTTGTCACGCAATGATTTTTCTTTTTGCTTAGATGAAGGGCAACCGCAATTCAAACTAATAAAAAGGAATTATAGCAGGTTTTAATTATGCGTCCTATGGCATGACGAGGACTGTTGTTGATCGTAGGTAAGGTCAAGTGCTGACTCGTTCCTAGTCGCTGTCTTTCTGATTGAGAAAGTAGACGATCTAGCTGAGGTCATCTGCGACGAGAACATTTTAGACGGCGCGAGACGCGTTGTGGGAAGATAGAGGCGCGATGAAACTAGCGTCCCCTCTCAAAACGCTCTCAGCTAGATGGTCTATTTGTCCCGACTGGGTGCGGTTCGGTCAAGTTAGACAGTCTTGCAAAGTTTTGAGGACAGAAAATTGCCATGATCGACGAACGTTGACCGGTTTGCTGATGTCAGATGTAAACCACCTACCCTTTGGTGAAGACTGAAAAGGGCTTAAAACTCTTTCTGGTTTCCCTCTAGGTTCAAGGACTCTGATTTACCTAATCATCACTACTCCTGCCAGACCTACTATGGCGATGGCAGCGAAATTGAGCCCGCGGTGCTTCAGCACATAAGAGCAATCACTTGGTCATGCGCTGTTGGATTTCCCTGGCGAAATGGTGACGTACTTGTTGTTGACAACCTTGCGGTTCAGCACGCGAGGATGAGCTTCACTGGGCCGAGGAGAATCTTGGCAATGCTTTCAGAAAATTGAATCAAACTGACTGGTTTTAGTGTTATAGTGCGACTACTCGAACCGGGCCACCGAGAAGAAAGCTAACCAATCACTGACAACAATGGAGTGGTAGCTTCTCGTGATGGCAAGTAAAGGTCTGTTTGACGTGAAAACATAAACACTGTGGACTCCTCTGAATTATATACTCACTCTTAGAGATTCAGTTCTTGATGGAGAATTATCATAATTATAAATCTCGCTCAAAAAAGTTAGCTTGAAAACTCACTTTTTGCGACAACTTAGCCTGCTGAACAGGCCAATTAGCGGAGTAGACCGCGAAGTGTGATACAAGTGCGCGCTCCGCGCGAGTGTATCGCGTTTCGCTCAGTCCCGCTTGTTCTGCAGGCTAGCGACAACTAAACCACAAACGTTGAAAAGCGTACAAAAGTTAGGATCGAAACTAACCAATCAACAAATGGCAAAGTTTCCTGTGAGGTTCACAACACCTCGCACTCTGTTTGGTTTTCAATTTTGTTAAGAACTGTTGTTCGCATTCTTCAATGTTATTGGTTCATTTGAGAAAACTGAGATCATTATGCTTTGTTCCCGAGTAACGTTCTGGTTGGTTAGCTCATTTCCAAGTGGCTCGGTTCGAGTAAGTTGCACTGGTTCTGAAGTAACTAAACATGATATTTTCCGTCATCGAAGATTTATCAACGCTTTAACTCGGAAACGAGAGCTTTCGCACGTGCAATCAACAACTAATCATTTCCCTGAATGTCTAAATCAGTGGGTTTTCTGGTAATTCACATTTTGTGTAGCGTACAACGTTGTCAGAAATTAATTATTGAAGTTGTTGGGCAACAAAAAGAAATATTCCTCTTGTTATAAACGAGTCGCAAATCAATATCTAGTTTTTGGAGCACCCACGGTTGCAATGTGGGCCGTTATGTAATGCTCGTTCAAACTATACGTCACAATAAATATCGTTTTGTAAAGAGGAACTAATATAATTAGATCGAATCGTACCTTTATGGCACGTTTTGGCGGTATATCAGGCCAGTTTGGTCGAGCCATTGCTCTTTCGCGGGACCAAACAAGTCTGATATGCCGCCGAAGCGTTCCAAAAACGGTACGATTGGGTTTTACCGTACTCGTATTCGGCTAAAATTCCGGAGATATTTTTCTAGTGACTGTAATCTGTCAGGCGCTGCGGTTAAGTGGTGCGCGCGAGGAGTTTAGTTTTGGCGGGAAAGTGCCACAGAAAACAAACGCTGATAGGAAAAAAGATGGCGGTCGTACATTTTACCACAATACCATACGAACCTAACACAGTCCATTCGTACAAGGAGAGCCATATTTTTGCAATATTTGTCCCTGAACGACAGTGTGTATATTAGATTTGAAAATTTCATGAACGTTAAGGTTATCGTTCGCTAGGAATTATGGTAAATGTACCAGTCGCCATCATGTTTTATTCTTTTAAGCTCAATATTCCAGTTATAAACTTCTTTCAATTTGACTGATAGAAAAGTTACTTTACCTGAAAGTCATCATGATATCGTAGCCATATCAGGTCTGTGACTTGATATCGTAGGATATCAGGACAGTAGACGCGGCTTCTGATTGGCTAATTGAGAATTTGGGTACGGTATTGTACTGAAACGTACGTAGTGAGACTACAACAACAATATATTTACATAAAAAAGTCGTTATGAACATTCTCTTGGTGCTGGGATAAAATACTGGTAGTCATGACATTATTGGCTAAAAAAGTGTAGCCTTGTTCAATTTAAGGCTCAATTTTCTCACTTAGTGTTACATAGTTTAGATTTGTTTATATCCTTGTGAACTGTCTTCTTGACTTAATAAAAGTGGTCATATTTCGCTTGGTGTAATTTTGATCACGTTGGTTGCGTTATCATGTCTGGCAAGTTCTTATATGCTTATCCTAAATATGTCGGCTGTGAGCTCATGGAGGTCACGAGTTTGCTGAGGTTGACCGCTGACCAGGCACTGGTTTTCGATCGCAGGTTCAAACCAGATCAGGAGCTCCGCTTTTAGGATTGGCTAAATTTATATGTTACTTTCGTTGCAGGTGTCCTGTTATTGGAGCGTGCATTATTTTTTTGAGAAACCAGAAACTGCAAAGGGACCGCATACGATGAACGCTGCCAACGTAGGGTCTACATGAGATCTGATCAGCCAAAAAATGCCAGCCAGGCTGCCGTTACATATCTTAGCTACACAGTGCTGACGAGCCCCAAGAAGGGCGAAACAGCTATCCACTGTTGCGATCCTACTTTACCGGTTCTTGTCATGTTGGTTTCTCGAAACGTTTTTCACGTAGTATCAGCCTTGCAGTCTGTTGTTTGTCTTAATTATTTTTTAAATGCACGGCTAGAAATTATAGGGTAAGGCAGGATCCTGGGCAAGGAAGTTGTGCTCTGGGTGTGGTGTTGCCAGCGCTTTCACCACCCCTTCTCAGATGTAAATAGTTTCGCTTTTTAAAGCTACATCCAAAACCAAATTGAAATTTGTATTCTTATGTTTGTTAAGAAAACAATGCACTTTGGAGGTCGTAGAAAACTGATCAACGTACTCGCGTTCCGCTCGTGCGTCCACGAGCAGTTTTTCTAGACATCAAGCGTGCATCATTTTCTTAGGCACCGTCAACACGACGCCGGAGGAACTCGAAAACGCAGCTTAGTTTCTACAGTTAGGCCTATTGTTCACAATAATCCGTCACGAAAACGGAGATTTTCGAAAACGCTATTCAAACCGGAGGAATCTGAAAATAACGGCTTTGCGTTTTCGTGTGGACGGAAAACATTTTAAAAACGGAGTTTTTCGAAAACGATGACCTCGCGATTGTCACGTGATTTCCCTACTCGAGTTTTCTTCAAAGACAAAGCCAAAATGACTGGCGATTGTGTGGACAGCAAAGTTTTGATGCGTTTTCAGAGGACCTCAGAACCAGTCATTTTAAGACTGAAAGACACCAGAACCAGTCGCTATGGAAAATATAACTTAGTGTACCCCTCCTATAACAGAGAAACGGAAGGGGGGCGAACTTTCCAAGCCAATGGAGCAAAACTATGGAACAGCATCCCTTTAGACATTCGCAAGCAAGACTCCATTGGCTCTTTTAAATCTTCTGTTACAAAATGTTTTTTGTCCAAAAACTCTTAGCTTAGTTTTTAGTTGTGCATATCTAGATTTAGATTTTTTAAATTTTTAACTTTTATCATATCTTTAAATTTTAGCTGTATTCTATTTTGTAATTTTTATTATCTTATAAGTGTAAATAGCTTTTAATTTTTAACCTAGGATAGAGGGCCACTGGTTCGTCAGTTTTTTTCTGTTATGTATTACGCTCTGTAAATAAAGTTGTTACTTACTTACTTACTTACTAACCTCCGTTTTCTCATTCCTAAGGCGTATTTTGGACTGGGCCCTAATTACAGAACATGGAGCATTGTCTTCTAGTTGGTAATTAGTGGTAATTCAGTGATCGCCGGACTGGTGTATGTAAAATACTTGTGCAGGGAAATTTCTATCAATTGCAAGCAGAGTCCAGACTACGTTTCTTGCTATATGTTCTATAAAACGAACGAGTATTAAGCGGACACCATCATGATTAAGCCCGAAGGTACCGTCGTTGTCCGCTTAGATATATGTTTCCCTTAGTTTCGACATGCTCCGAATAAAATATAATAGCCAAACTTTCGAACGTAAACAAAAATAAAGGTGTGGGTGACTAGTATATATGTTTACTTGGCTTCGCTCAAATGTGGTTCAAGTTTACTTGAAGTTACTCTTCAGTGTAAGATTTTTAGAATCCAGAGGTCCGCTTTTTGAGAAAGAACACAAGTCAATCAAAACAAGCTTAGTAGTTTATCTTGCACTTTCATCTTTTAAAGAACATTTATTTCACATAAGTGACACGAAAAAGCAGCTAAACGACCACGCAAACTATGCGCAAGCTAAGATGGTTCATAAAACAGTGCAAAAAGCCTGACTTCCTTAACTAGTTGCTCTAAACAAACAGGACCGTAGCCAGAAAAACAGTGATGACTGAGGTAATTTCCATGAAAAAATTATAACCGAGGCAATGCCCATGGTTCTTTCTAGGTATTTAGGGTGTTCATAATGACTATCAACAACAAAAATGACCGGGGCAAGTGCCTTGGTTTGCATGTTAATTACTAGCTACGGCCCTGGCAAAGGGGTAAGTTTGTACAATAACAATCAATAATCTTTAATGAGAAGGCCTACGTCACAAAGTGGTGTGCAGATGGGTCCTCTATTAAGATTAAACAAAAGAAAGTAGGAAAAATGAGCTGGATTAAAAAAAAAAAAAAAGATATAACTATACAGAACTAAAAATATAAACGTACTAATAGATAAGAACAAAAGGAGACAATATTAAAAAACTATGCATAAAAGTAATTTTGCCGAGACTAGTTTTGTTACGTTTCGGTGTCGAAAGATGTTATTACATAAAGATTTGCTAACCAAAACACAGGACGACATAAAACTTGCTCTTTACTTTTCTATGCAGATTCGGCAAACAAAGCTTTTAAAGCTATCAGTATATGGCTCACGTTTTTGGCTTAAATGTGGACAAATTTTTAAATTTTGGACATCTGATAGCGGAAGGTTGGCGGGAACCCTGAAGCGAGCCCGCAGTATCTGATTGACGGCTGTGTCAAGCCTATAAGTATAAATTGTACCGCTCTATTGCATCACAGGTGAAAATACACAAGACTTCCATAACTTTCTAATTTACACTGTAATGGAACTCACGGCAAAAATCGTATGCGTTTAATTAAGAGGGCTTAAAGCCGAAAATATACAGATATGTACCTCTGACTTAATTCTACGAAAGTTAAAAGAAAAAACTCGCTATTTTTTTTAAATAATAAATAATCTTATCCATGAAATTCATACTGAACATACACGAACACCTGGTTGACGTGCGGTGTACCAGCGAAAAGCTTGATCTACAGCTTTCGTTATAATATCGTCACAATGATAAATAATTATAATTCATAGTTGCTTAAAGCAAGCCATAAGTAAAGGGATATGCCCCTAATTATTGAAAAAAGACCCTGTGTTAAATAATCAATGAAATTACATTTTATACTGGTTACTTGAGCTTCCGTTCTGTCTCTCGGCAAGAGAATATGATCAGATCATAATCTCTCGCTCACGACCCCTAAATCAGTTGTTAGTACGTTCAGCACTTTGTGCTAACCTTTCATGAAAATTTCTCCTCAATAAATAACTCAAATAGATTGCTAGAACTACTTTAAACTGGGTCAACAGAAGCTAATAAGGAAATTCCCTTCAAAACTATTTTAGATTGTAGAATTTTGATTCATTAGATGAGAAATGGCGCGGGTTTTCATTTTGAATAACAGCTGACAGAGGGTTTATTATACTCTGGCGGTTTAAGCCAATTTTGAGTGCCGGTTTGTTGGTGTTCACATTTATCTGGTGGTTTATCGAGCGGTTGCGGAAAGTCATAAATTTACCTCACAGTTTACCTCAAAATTCGTACTTTTACGTTTCGTTATAAATACCTCGAGCGATCTTTGTATTTGTGAACAGAAAACCTTTTTCTTCCCTGGTTACTGAATGGAGTTAGAAAAAGTTCGTTCCGGTCTTAAGATCTTGTGGTCTTTGTGAGGAGAAATACGGTTATTGAGCTAACAATTCGTAAAGAATTTAAGTACTGCTAAAAAAACCGATCGTGCTAATAGTATAAAGGCGGTTTTGGTTTTCAGGAGGAAACGAAAGCGGTCTGCGGTTTCCAAGGAACAAAATATGGCGTCTGCGGAATGCACAACTACTATAACAGACCCTTCTGAGATCTAAGATCTGCAAAATCTACTGAGCGCCGGGCTACTAGAATTTTAACTGATAGCTGAGAAAAACGCAATGTAAAGTAATGTTATGCACCCTCCCCCCCGGGGGGGGCCCTCCCATATAAAGAGGACGGGGGTGCTCGTCGTACCTTTTAGGGGGGGCTGAAAAAACGGTTTTGGTACCTCTTAGGCTGTTCAGCCTCAAATACCCGCCACTGCTGGAGCTTTTACGGTACATTTTAGGATATTGAGCCGAAATAAATATGACAGGAGATAATGTGTTGTTTAGAATTCGTATCTCTTAGGGGTGGAAAAAGATTTCAAGCCACGCCCACAAAACAGGATCTTGGAACCTCTTAGGGGTTCTTGTCAAAATTTCCGATGAGCAGCCCCGTTCTTTTTGTATGGGAGTCCCCCACGGGGTAATGCAACGCCGAGAAAATGTAACTAATAACTGTGATGTACGACTCAGAAATTCACATCTCACTCCTACACAGGCAATATCATTGGTCTGTCGTTTAAACGCTTCAAGATTTCCAGAGCATCATCAGGCCATTTGTAGCTGACTTCTGCCCACAGCGGAAGGACTTCGAATGTTACCGGTACATCGGGCAAAGCTATGCACACCATCTGGGCGGCCGAGCGATTTTTAGTGTAAATATCTCGAAGCACTTCAAGCTCAATCCATACACGGTTAACATCCTAAAAAGATACATCGTATTTCTATTAAAAATCAGACAACACTGAAAATAATACCATATAGTACAAGAACAAATAAAGTTCAGGTTCATTGTAAAGATCAGATGTTATTAAACTAGTTTTAATTGCGCATTTTGATCTAGTGGCACTAGTTCTCCCCTTCGCTTGCGAAAAGGGCGCCATGTGAAGGAAATTCATAATTCACGCGTGTTTTGCAAATGGCTAGGTCTAACCTTTTTCCATTACGAGAGTAATTTTGACAGTTAAATGCAAGAGAAACTATTTCCAATTTCACCAGGTTGCTTAAATTACAATTTTTAGACAGGAAGCCACATCAACCTTGGCTAGTTTACATGCGGAACCTCTATCCTGTTCGAAGATACTGGAATTTGGAGTGTTGGTTTTTGTGAAGGGAGCAAAACCAGAGAACCCTGAGAAAAACCCTCGGAATAAGGCGGGAACTAACAACTCCACGAGTTTAACCAAACACACATACTTTTCAACAAAATATCTCCAAAGTTCACTTCTAAGTTATGTTAACTTGTCCCTCATCGTTTTCGACGCCATGTTAGAAAGCGCTTGACGGAACTTTACTTCGAAAGCCAAGAATCATGGGACAAGGTCAAACTCCTTCCCAGGTTCTCTCATCTTCCGAGGAAATGAGAGACCCTGGCAACGAGGTTGGGACAAGGCTCATTCCCGTCAACAAGCAAACCAACAAAGAAGAGAAAACTGTACCTGGCATTGCGAATCGTCTTGACTATCCATGGCGAGGTTCACCAAACCTGGCGACAAGAATATCAACACCTTCTTCGCCTTTCTTATTTGATTCTCTCCCCACCGCGCTGGGCCCTGGGAAGTAATTTCTTCGGACACCATTCGGTCCATGATGACGTTGTAACCGTTATGGCGAAAGTAGTTCACAATCGAGGCTACCCTCTCTCGAAATTCTTCACTCTCTGGGTAGTAGCAACTGTAGTATCGTTCTAGGAGGAGACAACAAATTCATTTAAATGTATAGGCGCCCCTTTCTAATACATATGGGTTACTGACCATGCCTCAGGTCAAGAAAACTGGATATTGGCCAAGTTCTTTTTTTTTGCGTGTTGACGGACCAAGATGGGGTCGTGGTCCATAAACACACAAAAAAGAACGAGGCTAATATCCAGCTATCTTGACAGAACAAGCTTAGTCAATTAAGGCTTTATTACATTAAAAAGAACCCTTTATTTCTTCCGAGACACAGCGGGTAATCCCGAGCGGGGAAGACAGCGCCATCTTGCCCGCTCGGGTAGCCAATGACAGCGCAGGATTCTGTTCATAGCTTTCTTCCTGGACATGATGAGCTGAAGTAAGTAAGTAATTATCTAACGTGACCACTCCGCTTAGCTAAAAAGCTACTTTACAGGAAACCCACTTGCTACCTAAAGTAAATTAGCGAGTCTTTACGGAAATCACACCAATCTGCTTGGTATTGCTGGCTATTAAAAGATAATCAATGTGCGCAAAATTTTCAAAACCCCTATTTCCCAGGCCCCATTCGTTAATTCCATTGCCTGCGTGGAAAATTTGCTGCGTTTGCACGTGATCAGCTCGTGGATTATCCTGCTGAACATGTGAATGAAAAGCGCGGGAAATACGTGTCGCGGCCGGGCGTCACTCATCAACAAAACGACAGACATCAACATGGTCACAAGCTTGAAAACTCGGCGACTCGACGACTTCTAAAAATAATAAAGAAATAATTTTTCACCGTGACGTTTGGGACAATAACAACAGTGAAGAGTTGCGGCCCAACCTGAAGAAGCGTTGAGATTAAGCGTTGGAGGAAGATTCTGGATTCAACACTCGTGAATGAACGCCAGCGATGCAACCGAACTTGGTAAGTAAGCATGCTCGGTTTGAATGCAAATATTTAGCAGAAAGATATACCCACGACTTTCTGAGACGGGTTTTTTAACCAGTATTTGTCGAGCAAGGGAAAGCTTGACGTTTTTTTTTTTTAATCTAAAATACAACTAACCACACCCCAGTGTCAACGAATTGAAGGGGGGGGGGGGCAGATTTGGTAAATTTGACTCGCATCCAGGGAGGGGGAGGGGTGAGGTCACGACATCTTTGTTGATGAGTTGGAAGGCTTGCTGAGTGTCAAAGGCTTTTAGTAGCTTCACTTTGCTTGCATCAATATTAACCCATTATTGTTTTATTTGAGGAAACACAATGGTCTGACAATCTTACTAAGGAAAAAAGGGGAGGGATAGGCTTAAATAAATATTGCAGGTGGGGGTGGTATAGCCACAATAATTTTTTTTATTGGTGGACAGAGTAAACTGCAAGCAGAAGGAAAGAAGACTTACAAACCAATAATATTGTTTATGATCAGGATTTACCAAATTCAACTTACCTTTGGTATTTTCCTTATGTGTAGGATGCGGGGGCATTGGCGGACGATCTATGATAAATTTACAAAGAGTGAAAATGATTACAATAATGACAATGTTCTATTCTGAGAGATTCTGGTTTCAAACTCCCTACACCCCTACCTCTGGAAATTTAGTTAATAAGCTTCATACTTTGGTTTAAGAACTCTAACTTTCGAGACCCTGCTTGACCTCAGAATTTTCAATGACCTTCATTTATTGGGGTGTGTTTGAATATCTGTTCAGACCTAGGAACTGCACACGAACAATGGAATTGAAAAACATAGCAATGGCTTTCCAGCGACAGTGCCAATGACAGTAACAGTGGTAAAAGTAAAAATAAATAGATATATTAATACTGAATAAACAAACAAACAAGCAAAATAATAAATAAACACATAATTAAGTAAATACAGAAATACTAAATGACAAAGTTCCAAAACAGGTCATGCATACTATCCCATGTATTAAATTGATAATTATTTTCTGGTGTGCTTGTACTCCCTCCGAGCCATCAAAAAGGGGAGGGGTGGGTGGGAGACTTTGTATCTAGTCTTTCTTCATATTATTTTATGGTTCAAGCACACATTAAATATTGAAATGCATAACTTCAACACACTTAGACTGCACTCACGAAATGAGATATGTCAGCTACATATACAAAAGACAGGTTACAAGCAAAATCCACAAAATCTCTGATGTATCGGATTCCTATAGTTTTTAAGGACTTTAAAAACTAAAGAATATGCAGCAAAATTTAGTTATTTTCTGTTGATGTTTTGTACAGTATGGCTAAGTAATTTATCAGGACTCATAACGCAGGAAGAGAGCTCATGAAACTTTTTGTTAAGCTCATGGTTTGCAACGCTCTCTAATTCTGCAGAAAGCTAATAAGCGCATCAGCACAACACTCTAGTCAGTTGACTGATCAAATGTTCTCACTGGATGCCTGTTGGGTCATTTATGACCAGCAGGCTGAACACCTCAGCCTCGATGTACTGGCTCGCTCTGTGTTTAGCTTACTGTGCTACAAAATAATGGCCAGGGCTTTCTTAAATCTTCATTAATTCTCAACTTAATATTTACAGCTTACCTGGACTCAGGGTTTTCCTTCTCCATTTAACTGCACAATACAAAATCACCAGCAGCACCAATGCCGCTATCAACCCTCCCACTATCGAACTTATGAGTGTTACAGTGTCTAGTAGAGCAAAGACAAAATTAATAAAAATAAAGAGTATTCCGAGTAGGTATAGATACAATGGACCCATGTTCATATGGTTACCAAAAGGCCATGGAAATTTGACTGTATTAATGGGGTAGGGTCACATTTGGTGACTGGCCTATATTTCTAAGTGACGTCTTGACAGACATCACAATTGCCCTTCTAAACAACTATCCTTTAACAAGCAGTCAAAATGCAGGTATAATTTATAAAAATAAGTTACAACTTTAATCTATTCAGCACATACAATATTAACAATGGAAAGATGAACATAACTGGTCCAAAGGACCGTCTTAACAGGGTAAAATTATAGCGGATTATACACTGTCAGGTTGAGATTTCAGAATGTGGCCCTTGGCCATATCAACAGGGTGGCCGGATTAAAAGGGTTTTCTTATAAGGAAATTTATTATATGGCTAGCTCCACAAGCGGGCAAGATGAATCAAATCCTGCCCTGTGATTGGCTACCCAAGCGGGCAAGATGGAGGTATCTTGCCCGCTCGGGACTACCCACCATGTCCCGCAAGAAAAATTTCCCTGAAAGCCATATAATAAATCCTTTATTGACCAAGCTTGTTCAGTCAAGATGGCTGGATATTGGCCTTGTTCTTCTTTTGCGAGTTTATGGACCTCGACTCCGTCTCGGTCCATAAACTTGCAAAAAAAGAACTTGGTCAATATCCAGCCATCTTGACCTCACACTTGGTCAATAACCCATATGTATGGGCATTTTGACAGGATAAAAAAGACTGGCTGTTAATTAACCAGGTGACCATAGGTACAATTAAAATAAAACTAAAAGCTGCACAACAGCTTCCATTGAAGTTGGCTCGATTTCCAGCCATTTTGGGAGTTCTGCTGTCATCCTTACCTTCCAACAATGGCATGGGGCAAGGAACACAGCTGGCCTACTAAATGGCTGGAAATCCAGCTTACCATTGAAGCAGAATTCAAATCAAGCAAGTTTCTTTTATTGCATCAAGCTAGATAGAAGTAGGAGGGCACTTTCATATAACAGTAATAACAAGTCATTCACACATTAAATTTATTGATATGTAGCCATCCAGTGATATTATGTATCACAAAAAGTACCAGCCAGAGGTCAGTATATCAGCTGACATGTTTTAGGCCTGGTTCATAAGCCACACTTCTGCTGTGTTAAATTCAATTATTAAAAGTGTGGCAGAAATGCGACTGTTGATCCATATGTCACAAGACGGACTTTAATTTCAAGAAACATTATCAATAGAGACGAGAAGGAGAAGGCTGACAATGCAGCAGTATGTGTTGCGAAGTGTTCACCAAAGGCACACTGGTTAAAACTCCAACTTATCCTTGCAAAGAAGTCGTGATCTGAACAGATCGCATCTAGCATATCAGCAACGTGATTATCAAGCCACTGCACTTTGTTACCAGGTAGCATTGGAACGAGAATGGCCAAGTTTCTTCTTTTTTCTTTGGCAGTACCAAGTTTACACATGCTCAGTACATTAACATAATGTATGTATTAGATTCGACACAGCAGAAATTCAACACCTGAACTGGTGTCACATTTCTGTTGGACTATATGACAAGACCAGTCGAATGTGCAGCAGAAATGTGGCAGCTGATTCAGATGTTGAATTTCCATCGAATTTAATTCATTTACTTGATTTCAACACGACAGAAATGCAACATAAGAACTGGGCCTTACAGTAATATTAACATCAGAAGGACATACAGTTGTAATCCCCGTTGTGATAACACATAATCATGGTCCAGCCATTAATTAGCCTGAGCTAAACACTTTGAAGTCTCGGTCTCCCAATCTAAAAGGTCAATATGTCTATGGCTCGTAAAGAAAAACGCTAGTCCCGCCGTCTCGCAAAGTCTCGTTTTTACCATTCACTACCCCTACTTGTAGCTTTCAAAAAGTGATTTGGATGCTCGCATTTAGAGGAAAAAAAATTCGACACTTTATATCAAAATTCAACACTTTTTTCAAAGTTCTTGTTATAGTTTGAAAGCCAGCTCTATAAGCTTTAAATTGGTATGGGGGTTTAGGTATCTGCAGTTTAAATCTTATGTGCTACATTGTTTGGACATGAGACACCTCTAAAGGTCGGTAACCATAACATCAATGATGTTCACATATTTTGATATGGTGGAGGAAACATAAATTTACATAATTACATGTATTAAACACATTCCATTTAAGGTGACTCAAAACAGTTTCCAGCAGTTAGATTTTGATGGGTCATTATAACCACTATTTATCGCCATGCCGTTTCTGAATTATAAGCCCCTAAAGGTGTAATTAAGAGTGTTTTTAGCAGGTCATACAGTTGCTATGGTAACCTATTGTGTCATGAAAATGATAATAACGTGTTCAACAACGACTGGGTAGTCTTTTGATACCATGATTGTGGTATCAAGTGATTTAAGGAGTGGTTACAACGACCCATCAAAATCCAAGTGCTGAAACCGTTTTTAGCCACCTTAATTAGGAGACTTGTAACAGTGAAGCTCTTAATTACCTTTACTAGAAACAGTTGGAATTTGGAATGTTCTGGGATGACCTGTGAACACAATAATATTATTATTTTATGAGCAGAGGGGAAATGATAATATTATGTTTTCTTCTGAACAGCCTGGCCAAATTGAACCATCAGCTTTTCATTCAGCAACATGTATTATCTTGAGAAAATGTTGGGTTATTATAAAACTTATATCTCTTTGTTTCACCTACAGCTGTACCTTGAAATTACGACAAAAATTCATTTAAATTTACTGAGCATGACTGAACTTGAAAGAGAAATTTGCCAAATTGATCAGAAGTATGCTGACATCATATAACAGTATTTACACAGGTACAGACAAAATTAATGTTTGCCTCCTATAATACACTTGCATCAAAGTCAAGTGATGGAAAATAGCATAAATTAAGAGTTTTGCTGCTGTTGATCTCTTTTTAAATCAACTTCATTTGTATATTGACATTCATTCATAATTTTTATTAATATTTTGGGGAGATTTTAGATTTGGCTTTTGGTTATATTTATGATAGAGTGGATTTCACATCTCATGCCATAACATCTTTCATATGGTTTGTCATCTGAGGGAGTTTGCTAAATATGTGATGATTCCACTTTATGATGTCCTTAAACTGAGTCATACTACTAAATAGGATTCAAAATGTCAACATTTTCCACCTTAGATTTCTTGGATCCGCCTAATTAATCCCCTTTGCACAAAATAACTATTCAAATCATATCCAAGTATTAATATGCTACAATTATTACATCAAAGCAATGACTTTTTATTATTACCTCCAATAGTAAAGCTTTGAAGTTCAATTTCACCATTACGATAGGGATTTACAACAACCTATGAAAAGTTGCAATCAGAGAATAATGATTGTTATTTACTTTAAACCTGTCGCGTTAGTGGGGAAGTGGGGGGAGGAACTCCCATGGAAAATTGACAATAGTGATTATTGTGCATTGCGTATAAATTCACTAGTCATTAATAAGCACTTAATGACTGGCCCCAAGAGAAACAGTGAGTTTTGTTTCTGAGACCCTCAGTGTTCCTTGAGTTCAAGGTCAAGGTCGAGGTCGAGGTCAAGCTAGGTCTCAAAAATGGAAAAAAAACTGCAGAGAATTTGTTTGCTTGATACTGGCTTGCTCACAAGTTTGCCACAGTTTCAAGGAACACGACCTGATCATGTACAAGTCAAAAGTTCAAGTTGTTATTTCCCTAGGGAGTTAGTGAGTTTTGTTTGCCCTAAGGAGTTAGTGGGTTTTGACCCACGACATGTGACACGTTCTACTCCAATAGCTGTTATTGTAGTTATAACTGGCTTGACACACAAATGAGGTGGAAGGGTCAATTCTGCATTGTATTGACCCTTTCACCTCATTTGCATGCCTTTTAAAACAAGAGAATATTTTACCACAATAATAATTATTATTGCTACTAATCTCGCAATCTGATTGGTTAATTTGCCTTTGTCAATAAGAGTCCAGACAACCCTGCTCGCATCAAAGTGTCACGCAATGCCTTTTTCAGCTCACACTCTAAAAAAACATTTTCTTTGACGTTGATATTGTGGTAAAAAACAAATCAAAATGTGGTTTAGTGTTTCCGTACTCTTATCGACAATGATACGTGTCATCACAGTGGTCAAAATTTTCTATGGACTCACTCTTAACATTTTGTCAGACTGATTTGTTTTGACATAAAAAGTATCATTCCATATATTGTTTTTGCTGATTTGCACTTTGTTTTCAATAAATAACGTATGCAAAAAAATCAGTTTCCAAGCGGCATCTTTTGGAGCAAATCCTTCGAAGGTGGATTTCAACACGACACAAACCCTTCTAGCAGCTTGGACAGCACAGTTTTTTGTAAATAGATGTTGTTATTTTTGAAAGAAGTAGAGAAATAGACCAGAAAAAAAAATTGACCGACCTCATATCAAACTAGTGTCACAACAAAGCAAACTCGACTCCGGCCTGTTCAGCACCTTATTCGCTTGTGCTAATGAAGCAACAGTAAGAGAATAGCGTAATTATATAAATAACAAAACTTGTATCAGTTCGAACAACCAGCGGCATATGCCACGCTTCGGCGACCTCATCGTTTAGCAAAACAAAAGGTTTCTCTTGTTTTTCACTCAACAAAAGATCTCCAAAAGATACCCTCGGAAAACTGAGTTTTTCGCATACGATATTTCTCAAAAACGAAGTGCAAATCAACAAAAACAATTATGCAATGATGCTTTTTATGTCAAAACAAGTCAGTCTGCCAAAAATTAGCTTGATCCTGCAAAAAATAAAAATCAGCCCCAAAAAGTGATATACGCCCTTTTTGCATGAAAGCCTTCAATAATTGAAGGAAATATTTTGGAAATAAATAAATAGAGCCTTCCCAGGCTCCTTTTCTGCGAGACTGGGAACGAGGTAATATTGTTGATGAAGCCACCTTTATTAGAATATTTCTGATAAGTGTTAGTCAATTTACAGTCTGCCGTCTGCAGTCTGCAAAATGTCATACACCGTCAGAGTTCTGGTTTTCTGGCATGGGTAGCTGGCAGGATTTCACCCATTGGTGGCAGGGCCTCAAATGGGAGCAGAGAAGCACCTATGTATTAGGAAATGTTTTAATTGAATGTCCTCACAAAGGTCTACCTATTTTAAGTTTGGTGAGACAGTTGCATATTTCCAGGTAAACATTTGAAGTGTTGCAGAGAACCTTAAAATAACTAATCAAGAACACAGTTAAGTTAACCCCAGAGGAATGTAATAGACCTTTTACATGCCGTGCAGGGACTGGTCGCTGGAGGTATGTGTCTGCCATCTTGAAACAGGGAAAGGTGAAGCAGGTTGGCCATGGTTAACTACTGTTGTGTTCCTCTCTGCCATTCGAAGTCATCAAGGGATAAAGAACTATCCTTCCATCACTTTCCAAAATGCAAGTCAAAAAAGAAGAAATGGAAGGTAAAAATACGTCATGATGAAGGGGAATTGTTGACTATAACTGAGCACACTCAAGTGTGTCCTCTTCATTTTACGGGTGATGATTACCGCACAACACCTGGTGGGCTTAAAGTTCTCAAGGACGATGCTGTGCCCTCAGCATTTCCCTGGAAAACACCAGTCAATCAGTGCTTGTCAAAGACAAGTTCACGCAGAATGGGGAAAGGCAAGGAGAAAACTCTATGCAGTCATTGCCAGGAGAAGGATCATGAAATTGAGCATTTGACGGAATTATTTCAAGAAAACGAAGATGAAATAAAGGTTTTGAAATCCAATTTTATATCAGTAAAATCAAGGATCGATAGTATGACGTTTTCATTTAAACGATTTGAAGGTAGTGATGATGACGTTCACCTTTACTCTGGCTTTCAAAATGCATCCAGCTCTAGAGAATTTATGACTTTTGTTTTGAGTCATGCTGAAAACATGAGTTACTGGAGTTAAATTCTTCATGGGAACATGGAGATGAGGACAGCACACAAATGGCTAATGTTAGCACAGGTCACACTAACAGAGCTCAGCCAAAGGAGGACAAACTCTTTTTGACCCTTGCAAGACTGCATTTGGGTCTCCCACTGTAGCATATTGCCAACTTATTCAACATTTCCATTGCTTCTGTTTCAAGAATATTTACATCATGGATAAATTTGCTTTATTTTGTCTTGGGTTCTATTAATTTTTGGTTGCCCAAACACACAATTCAAGAAACAATGGCTGACAGTTTTAAAAAAATTAATTTCCTTCAACAAGAGTGATCCTTGATGCAACTGAATTCAAGATACAGACACCTTCTTTGTTAAGGCAGTCTCAGATTTTTTCACAATACAAAAGTACCACTACAGCCAAAGCTCCGTTGGGTTAATTGCACCCTCAGGTAGTGTTACGTTTGTATCTCAGTTGTATACTGGACGCATATCGGACAAGGAAATCACTAAACAGTCTGGAATTCTCACATGGCTTGAAAGAGGGCACAATGTAATGGCTCTAGGATGGACTCTTAATATTCCTCCTTTCCTCAATAATCAGGGACAGTTTTCAGAGGATCAAGTAAAAGAGACTCAGGAAATTGCAAATTTGAGAATACATGTCGAGAGAGCAATAAGCAGAATTAGGACGTTTAAAATCCTACAACATGTATTTCCAATTAATCAGGCTGGCCTGCTTAATCAGATCTGGACAGTCTGTGCACTTCTGGTGAATTTTCAGTTGCCAATCATTGCACAATAACTAATAATTGCAACATTAGTGTCCTTTATTAGCTAAAATGCAAGATACATAGAGATGTATTTCAGAAATTTGCAGAGTAAATGTAAAGTTGTCAATAAAAATACAACAAATTAAACAGAAACAACCAACAGCCAAAACAAGATTAAAATTGTTTCAAAGGCCTTATTTCACAGCTTAAAACATTTCACAGACAATAATGGCTTGGTATCATGTCATTAATAACAGGAAGTTAGCATCCTTTCATTGTGAGGAATGTATAAGAATGTTCAAAGTAGAAATTTGTTAATTTGGAAAGCATATTATTCCACAAGGTTTGATCAAACATAATTCTTCGCTGAAAGAAATCTACACCTGCCCAAACACAAAAATCACACCATTTAAACCCAGTGATGCCCATTAGGCCCTGGACTTGATAATGGTGATTTTCTTTCAACTTAATCCCATTGTCTGTTTGCTTTAAGTAAAATTGCTTATTTTCTGTGATAATGTCAATTTTTTTTTACCAGCTCCACAAAATGGACATTTAGCTTCAAAAATCCCAAGGGGATTTTCTCTCATTGAAGGGCCATAAATAATACCATCTGGTGAAGCCCCTAGCTATAGCCAGTAAAATGCTGGGTTAACCACTAGTCCACTCTTGTACATTTTTGTTGTTTTGTCCACAATCAAGATACTCTTTTGCAGCCTTGATCTTGTTTGTCAAACCATACTTCAGAGCTGGGGTCTGAATTGTTTTTCCTGAAAACAGTTCATTCAGAAACTTTTCTGTAACAGCTGCCTTTCTTTTGATAACCTGGCCAAACTGAGATGCTGTGATGCACTTTGCTCTCTCTAATTTCAACTTTGCACTTCCACTTTGCTCTGTCATGTCACATTCAAGTTGTGATGCATCTTTTGGCGACAAGGTAGTAAAACTAAGATCTGCATTTTGAAACCCACAAACAAATTTATTCCAGTTATCACTGAGCACAGGAAGTTTAAATGGTAAGTCACCATATATGTTTGTTTGATTTCCAATACCATCAACTGAAGGTAGCTGATAACCTAATGGACTGCCCTTAAGGTATTTGCCAAAATTTGCTTTAACGGTGGCAGAACTATCATTTTCCACATGAACAACTGGTGCGGTAGGGCATACCTTTTAAAATTTATCTTAAAACTCTTGAAATATTTGTTTGCTTTCCTCTGAGTCCTTTCTCTTGAGAGATCTTGGATCATAAAGGCAGAGTGATGCACCTCTTGTTGATCCCTTTCCCACTGATGGTCTTGAAAAATTTAGCTGCATCCAGGGTTGTGGGTTGATTTTTGCACCTCTAGGAACATGCCATTGCTGGGGCTTTGAAGTACAAGCTGAAGCACCATCACTCTCCTTCATAGAACTCAACACCGCATAGGCTAAAGCTGAGAGATGATGACAATGTCACCGCCCGGCTTTGCAAGAACATCTTCTAAACATGATATTTGATCCTGAGTCACTGAATTCCAAGATCATTTTCATCTCATGTGGCTTTTCTGACTTACACTATAGACATCGAGCAATAGCATTTTCCTTTCATAACACAACATTCAGTTTCATGAAATGTAATAAAAAGATCATGAACATAATCTTCCATGAAAAACACCTGAGCCCTCTGATCCGATTTCTTTTCCTTGATAAACTCCTCTAAGCAGTTTTGGGTTAACATTTTACAAGTTTCTTCACTATTAGCTGTCATTTTAGCTGGCGATCAAAGGTCAACACAAGTGCAAATTAGCCATGTGTCATATCAAAGATGGTGGTCGCATACCTCCAGTGACCAGTCCCCGCACAGCATGCAAAAGGTCTATTTGTACATTTACTGTAAGTTACATATTTGGACAGAGCCTGGGTTGGTAGAAGTGTTATACATACTGCAGTATGGAAGGAATATGGGAGTTTCCAGTCACCAACTTGCTTCAGCAAATAATCTGTTTGGTTCTGAAGATAAATTTTCAAGAAAAACATATTACACACCATTACAAAAATGTTGACGGTACAGCCTTTTTAAGGGGACAATGTCACGAATTGCGCACGTACAATGTTTCGATCGTAACTTGAAAAATTCAGGTGGAATTTTTCAAATTTGAATTCGGCAAATTCAAAATGGCGTTGACTAGTGGATCCAGTCGTGATGTGCGAACCCGGTGTGTGAACAAGGAGAATTTGACTGCGATGAATAACCCATGGTATTAAAACACACAGAGAAAGCTGTCATAAAGGGATAATTTGGAAGGAAAAATATTTCATTGTTTTGGGCTAGTTTAGTGTGATTAGTGGCGTCTGCCTGGAACCTTGAATATGGTGCTTCCATGCAGCGAATGCCAAGTCTTGGCCGGTTCAGGTACTCATTGCATCTTGACCTCCTTATCACAATAGTCTTAGGAATCTGTATTCACTTAGCTTTTAACTGACATACTGAAAGTAGAATTCTGTGGAGATATGCTAGAGAAAATAGTTGAAAAACACTGTGTGGTTCAAGACTAGTACTGTTAACAGTCAATTTGACCGTTACTGAAGTGAAATACGGCATGATTTTTGGCTCTTTATCATATTATGGCCTTAAAATCATAACACACTACGAAATCTACATTCACTTAGCTTTCAATTGGTGTATCAAACTCAGAAATCTGTTGAGATGTACTGGAGCAAAATAATTATTACATGACACGGTAAACATTTATGTGAAGTTGAAAGATACATGGCTTGTGTTGCAATTTGCATTTGTAGTCCTATTTCAGCTATTAAACCTCAATTTTTAGTCACCTGGTAGGTATAAAGTCACCACTGCATGGCGACCTGGCGACTGCCAAATTTTAGCCCTGAAGATATACCTTTGTTTTTCATGTGACTGTATGTATTTTGAAATGACCTACCTATATGCATTTCGTGTATTAAAAAAGTTGCATACATAGCTTGAATTTCCATTCTTATTCTCATTCTCACACTCAGTCTCAGGACCTGATCATTCAGAACTGTTGAAGACCTTTAGTGAGTTATTTGAACAAATGAAAAGAAAGTAACCATTAATTATCTCCCCCACACAGTCCTTACGTGTTTGATGGGCTACAGCATTTCCTGGATCAATATTGGATGATGTGTAGGCCATGCTTTCCCTCGTCCTTCTCAAACTCATTAGTAATTCATCAAGTTTAAACAAAGGAAATCATGACTGTGACAGTGTTTGGATATCTGATCTTAATTAGCATAGATTTTTACGATTTTATTTCTCAGTTTTCTCCTTAATTTTAGTTTTGATTGAGAAGATATATCAAACACTCAAAACAGTGTTTGACCACATTTCCAAACTCCTTGACGTTCGTCAAAAATACTCTGCTGGGCATCGTATTTTCAACTCTCCTCTCGGTGTTTGGAAATGTGGCCAAACAAGGTCTTTTGTGTTTGATATATTACCTGAACAATTTGCTATTTGTAAAACTGACCTTGGGAACTTTTACACAGTTTGGTCCTTCAATGCTGTAGTCATGGTAGATTAATCCATAGCTTGTCCAATTGAAATCTGGAAAGAAAAAAACTATTATTTAATGTACTACGAATAAGCGCTACTTTAAATTTGAAACAAAAATATTAATAGGCACCACCCCAAAGTCTGTTGAATGCTGTTTTAGTCACCCAGTCTCACATCAGTGTTAAAAATAAGCCCTCAGCCGCTGGCCCATGTGAGCGTGAAAGACATGACTGGCCAGTACAAATTCCTGATCAAGTAGCTCATCTAGTTGGCAAAGGAAAACATCAGTGTTTTCATATATTCTATGACATCTACATGACCACAAAAAGCAAAACTGGCTATGTTTTTTCTCTAGACCAGTTTCCTTTGGCAATATTCTCTAAAATTTGTCAGATTGATTACTGGTTCTATTGTGACCAGAAGTTGCAGTAATACTAGAGAGGCCTTGCTCAGGAGAAATTCCGGCAAGCAAGTCATGGCCTTGAAATGGTGACATGAGAGCCATGAGCTGACAATGAAAGACTACTCCAGACTACTCCAGTAAAATAGGGAAAGCGACACCAATAGCAAAATAGACCAACAGCAAATTTCAGAATTTGCACAAACATAATTATTTGTAAATAACAGTTTAATAAAGACCCATAAATATGTCTCATTTTCCAGACTGAAATATATATATACCTAACAAAAGCTAATATCCAACTAGTAACAACACTATTGATACTAGTCATGGATCGAGATTGAATAAATTGCACCTACAAAAAATGAGTCACTCTGGCCTCAGTTTTCAAGTTATCTAGATGGCCATGTAAATGAAATTTTTTCCCTACCAAATCTTCACAAATTTCCAAGTTTTATACGCCATACAAAAGCTAACTGAACGCAGATTACATAACGATTTAAAGGTCAAGATCTATGCCTTTAATAGCCAAAAAATCATGCCATATTTCACCATATATCTTTCAAATTCACCATGCTAACTGTGCCATGTAAATGAAATTTTTTCTCTACTAAATCTTCACAGATTTCTAAGTTTTATACACCATAAGAAAAGCTAACTGAATGCAGATTACATAACAATTTAAAGGTCACGATCTACGCTTTTAATAGCTTAAGAATCATGCTGTATTTCACTCTACTTATACTGTTGAAATGCAACATAAATCATATATCTTTCAACTTCACCATGCTAACCATGTGATGTAAATTTTTTTTCTCTCGACTGGTACATCATGTCAGATTTCCAAATTTAATACACCAACTGAAAGCTAAGTGAATGCAGATTTTGAACCATGTTATGATCTGAAGGCCACAATGCGATAAAGAGCCAAAAGATCATGCCATATTCCACTATAATAACCGTCAAATTGACTATTAACCATCCCCAAATCACACGCTGTTTTTCAATTGTTTTTCCTGGCATATTTCAACATAATTCTACGTTCAATACGTCAGCTAAAAGCTAAGTGAATACAGATTCCTAGGACAATTATGATAAGGGGTTCTAGATGCGCTGAATACCTCAACTGGCCAAGACTCATTTACTACATGGAAGCACCCTAACCAGGGTTGGCATGCACAAGCAGCCCCTAAATTGGCTGAAAACAACTACAAAATAGTTCTCCTTCCAAATTAACCCTTTATGACAGCTTTCTCCCTGTGTTTTTTAAATAGCATGTGTTATTCATTGCAGTTAAATTCCCCCATGTTCACACACCACGACTGGCTCCAATAGTCGACGCCATTTTGAATTTGCTGAATTCAAACTTGAAAAATTCCACCTGAACTTTTCAAGTTTCGATTGAAACGTCGCAAATGCACAGTTCACCACATTGTCCCTTTAAAGGAGTTTTCCTTTCTCATGTGTGATGGAAGTAGTAGATCGATGGTAGTGAAATGCCTGGAACATTAATTATCACAGAACTGGATCCCAGCTGGCTTTCGTCTAGGCTTAACTACCATCTGCACCAAATATATCGAGTCCATCATTGCTGAGTATGTTTTCTCACTCTCAGCCAAGTGAGCAGTGCTCTAAAATATCTAAAAACACACTTTAAGGAAAAAGAGATCTTTGAAAGTCTGTGTAGTGCCAGCCACTAGTAAAAAAAATATGAAGCTGAAATAAATAAGGTGATGGCATTATGGAAGGAAAAGAGGGACAGGAGAAAACTGTCAAGGTCTTCTCATCTTCAGCAGAAGGAAAGGGTTATGTTAAATTAAAAGGAAGATTATAAATAGGAGAGATTTTCTGATTGAGACCGTTGAGATTTTGAGTAAAAGAACGGTTGATAAACATGAATATGGTAAAAGTGGTCATTGGTTTGATCCAGTACTTTAGGTCCAAATTAGATACTGACTGGAAAATGCTGAATATAACATTTCCAAGCATCTAAATTTCAAAATTTCCCTGAGGAGCATGCCCCCAGACCCTCTAGGATGCTAGTGCCTTCAGCTCTCGAAAAGTAGCCTACCACCTACTTTCAAATTGGTGACGTCTACTTCAAAACTTATTGACATTAGTGTATCTGTCAGAACTCACTCACTACTATTATTTTTGAGCAAAATATGGCTAGAACAGACCACCTCTTTCAAAGTGACTGATGCTTGCTTTCGTATTGTCAGTTTTTTTTTAAATAAACAAAGGTATTATGATTTATTACACTTGTAGCTTCATTTCAATCGAACAAGGTCAAATTCCCTGACACAACCCCTCTGTGACAAAATTTTAACAGGGGACATGGCTACCCCCTCTAACAGTGCCTCATTAGACCCTCGCCCAGTGGTTCATGTACTTTGCCAATAATTTATGCATAACTAATACCTCTATAGGTACCATTTAACGTAATTTTATTTACCAGTTTCTGAAGAGTCTATGGCATCCCATATAATATGAAGCCATCCTTCTCCTGTCAAATTTACCAACAGAATCTTTGCCTTATGAAGCAGCACTTGTTTTGAGAACTGACATTCTGAGAAGGTAAGAGATTTTTCAGTACGTAACTTTACAATTAAAGCAGTCATAGATTTAACTAAGGAATTACTTTACATTTGGGTCAAATTTACCAATACAAGTTATGCATTTAGTTGTTGAAGCATATTTAGTATTTATACTAATTATTTAAAGTCACTTCCAACAAATTGTGAGGTAAATGTAATAATATTCATTGCAAAACCAAACGCAATACAGCTGCAGGATACCATTTGCCTTCATGGTAGCCATTTGGTTGAGTATGACAACAGCTATTTTATATAGGCATGTGTTGACCCCACTGTCCAGGCCCAGGTTGTTTGAAAGGTGGATAACACTTTCCACAGAATAAATCACTATCAAGTGGATAGTGCGGTTTGTTTTGTTAATGCTTATCTATTGGAGAGTGATTTATATGGTATGTTATTTTGGAGGTTATGTCATATTTTTGACCATTTTGGTCCTACATGGTCTGAGAATTAGTTTTAAATACTGTAAATTATTAAGATCTTAAGTTTGCAATTTTCCCTCTACAAAGGCTAAAATTTAGGGATTAGGTCTTTCAATAATATAAATGTATGTTGGATGGGAGAATTTTTGTTAGCCTTAACTTCACAACTGTTATGTTGTGTATAACTGCAATGATCAATCATGTCTTCATATCTTTCTCCACAGTTCAAATATATGATATTTCATTCACTTGTAAATTCATATTCCAATCGGTAGTTAAGGAGGACCCCCCTTAATGCTTTAGTTGAAACATTTAACCAATGTAAAACATAAGCAAAGTTGGCAACTTACCATTTAATACATTCATATCAACACTTCGCTGGCGTCTGATGAAATGTCTATCAATCATTCTTTTGCTGAAGTCATGGCTTTTGCCTTGTTCTACAGAATCAATACAGAGTAAGGCAACATATTTACTACTGACAACATTACTAGTATTTCAAAATGTTTAAATGTACACGACAGCCAATATGCTGCATCTGTAAAAGTAGAAAGAACTTGTAATCCTGAAAAAGTTCTATTCTTTTTAAAACCTTGTTAGACCTTGCAAGGGGAACAGAGTGGGTAATAAGAGCTCTTACTAATACCCCAGCTTCAGGAGTCTGCTTTCTGCTCCTGCAATCTGTTATTTTGGTGTTCTCTCCAGTTTAAAGATAGTCTTTTTTATCATAAAAATTGATAAAATGTGTGGTGATGTACAGTGACACGTTCTGGTAAAACATACATGCAACATTTAATAACCAACAAGAATTCATGCAGAAGCAGACAGTGTAATAAAAGTTTACAAAATGGAAACCTGCAGAACATGCAATTATGATCTTTCATATATTCACTTGCATTCTGCAGAACATGGCAACATAACATTCTCCTGCATACATTACCTAATGATGGTGTCAATTTTCCCTGGCAGCTTCGAATACATTCTTTTTCAGAAATGGCCTAGAAAAACACCACAGTTGACAACGACATTTTAGGTTCACACTCTAGCTCAAAATAAATGCATCTTATACTAGGTGTTAACCACAAAAAAGACATGGTTACAAACAAAAGATAAATAGAGTAGGCTCAAACCTTATATTGAAAACCATCCAGTGGAAAAAGCTAAGAAATTGTGATGTTATATAGAAGATAACTAAATAAGACTCTTCGTCAAGTTTTAGGCCTGTGCGTTTCCCCAAACTTCAGATACTCGAAATGTTTTGCAGAAATTTACAGAGCCCAATATGAAAACGCCCATGTTGGTGTACATCTGTGGTACACCAATATGGCGGCCAGAAAATAGTGTAAACATCTGGAACTTACTTTAGCTATCTGAACTAACAAGCATATTCACAAGCACTTTTCCTAATGCTCTAACATCTAAAAAGGCTGAAAATCATGAGATAAGTATATATTTTTCAACAAACTTGATCGTAGCGTTGTGTCACACACCTCCATAACCCTGAAATTCAAAATGCTCTGGTTTCCCAATGAAGCACGCTATAATGAGCTGTAAAATTGTAACCGGTTTCAAATATACCGCCTCTTGTGCCTGATGAGGCTAAAAACTTTGGTGGCTCTTTATTTGTGGATTTTAGAAAGTGATGATGTCACATGAAAAGGATCTATATTTTTTATAGAGGGGGACATTGGGGGGTTCTGAACACCGTAATATCACAAAAAAAAAATTCGGCAAATACCGCAATATCGCAAATAAAATCATGAAATACTGCAACACTTCAATTTTGAGCAAATAACATGGAAATAGCAGTTGAGGAATTTGTAATTTTTGATTTAGACAAAATAAAACATCCATCCATTTGCATGTTTGCTAATAATTAACAAAAAATAACTTACCTTTTCCAATGGGAAGCTGGAAAAGGCTCGGAAAACATTCAAGGACTTGGAGGATAATTTTTAATATTGTCCAAAATCTCAAAAAATGGCATCCCGCAGGTTGGGAAAATACACAATATTTACCGTAATTCGAAATTACAATTACCGAAATAAGTGCAAGAAAAATTGTCCAACACTGCAATACCACAAACCTCAATGTTCCCCTCTTTATAGATTGCAAAAGGAAATTCTTTGCTTTTCATTGAATATCCTGAAAGCATTAAGACCACCCACATGTTTTTTTACTGTAACATGTTTCATGGAAGGTATACCGTAAATCCTTGAATTAGTGCCCGGGGCGCTTATTTCAAATCTAGGAGAAGACATGGGGTGCTTATTCGAGGGGGGGACGGGCACTTATTTAATTTTTCCCAAATCATAGCCTGACATGATCATTGTTTTAATATATCATCTGCACGTAAACACCAACATAAGCTGTTCATTGACATAAAAAGTTACTCCTAAAGTTTAAATCGTGGCACCGTTAGTACTCAACATGTTCCACGTGTTCACTAAACATGTTCACAAACTGAAACAAAGTATAAATCTAATACTACATGACGAAAACTATACACCCTTTGCTGTGTCATTACTCATCCACAAAATGGGGGGAAGGGAGGGGGGCGTTTATTTTAAATTTTGGCTGATATGAGGAGTACTTATTCGAAGGGGGCACTTATTCGAGGGGGGGGGGCACTAATTCGAGGATTAACAGTATCTTCATTTGAAATTAAATGATCGCATTTTTATGTCAAGAATGGTATATATCTANGGGGGGGGGGGGGGGCACTAATTCGAGGATTAACAGTATCTTCATTTGAAATTAAATGATCGCATTTTTATGTCAAGAATGGTATATATCTATATTAATTGTTAGGGTTTGGACTTCAGAGACTTGTAAGTTATCTAATATGGTCTAACAGTTGAGTCAATTACACCTTGCAGCCCGAGGGGGGGGGGGTTACCTTAGGAATTTCTGGGTGGGATGTGGCACTGGGACCCTAGAACTCTTAGCCTATACCAGAGATAGTTCAGCTGAATTTTGCTACCCTATACTAGGGTAACCAGTATTAAAACCACCAATTTCTGTCTGAATCCCGATTTTGTACAGTTAATAGTACGCAGTAGTGTTTTATGATAGTCATCTATTCACACTGCTGAGGCTGAGTTGCAAAAATTTAAACTTGCCGATTTAATTTTTTTATATTTTCGAGTGAAAATTCCTGGTTTCCTTAGAGAGAAAATCTTCAACCAACTGGTCAGTTTCGTGAAAAATGATACCCTATTCTAGACCCAAATGCTAGAGCAAACTGCTTGAAAACCATACCCTTCACAGTGGCACATACCTATATAGCCCAAATGTGGCAGTACCCCCCCCCCCGGGCCTTGCAGACACTCATGCAAATGTACGTGTCACAAATCATGCACTCTGAAAATGTAGATATTGTTTAATTAATGGTTTTAATAAATTATGGAAGCTTATATTTGATACAGACCCAAAGAGACCAGTATTTTGCTTATGTGACACTTGAATGATAAACAAGCTAATTATTTTTACGGGGGCAGAAGAACTAAAGAATATTAGGAATAATGGACGCTGCGATATCCAAATATTAATTGTCGCTGCAACCGAAGAAACTTAAGAAAAAACAGCAATCAGAATTTGTTACGGAGTAAGATTTAGTACTTGACAGCACTGCAAGCGGCCATATTTTCCAAACCGTACACTTGAATGATAAACAAGCTAATTATTTTTACGGGGGAAGAAGAACTGAAAAATATTAGGAAAAATGGACGCTGCGATATCCAAATATTGTGTCGCTGACACCGAAGAAACTTAAAAAAACAGCACTTGTCACGGTGTAAGATTAGTACTTAACAGCGCTGCAAGCGGTCGTATTTTCCAAACCGTACAATATGAGTGAGATTTGTTACCGGAACATGCAATAAAATTAACATGTTCAACGTCTATATATATCGATCATATCAGTCACCGACAGCATTGGTTTCGAAGCGGGTAGTGATGTTAATCGACAAGGTAGCAAATTAGGTATTGTAGTCACTGTGAAACGAGATGCATAAGGATTGATGATTATCATGGCATTGTGACATGTAGTTGTCGTTAATGAACTGAAAGTGAAAAAATTTACATAACAACAAGACGTTTCAGCTGTGTTTCGCTTTTAAAAGATTATAAGCATGCTTAAGCGATTAAGGCATCGTTGTATAAATGTTATATTATACCTATTGACTTTTATACGTTAACCAAATTTAACCCATTAATTAATATTGCCTTTAATACTACAGCCGAATATTGCCTTTAATACTATGTAATATTGCTTTTAATACTGTCGGTCATGTGAGATTACGTTGAGTATATTTTAAAATTAATGCATATACCGTAGTAATATTTTTAAAACATCCTGTCTGTGTGCAGACGGGAAAGACTATAAAATTTAATATCCTACTCGAGCTAGAGGAGTTAATATATTTTTCGTGCATTAGATTTAAAAACCAAGTTTTCCAAATCTTGTATGGAAAATTCTGAGAGATGAAGACGGTTTCGAAAAGGTTTTAATTATGTTATACGTACAGGTCAAAATCAGTAAGTTTCGCAGGCTGAAGTCACGATATCAAGTGAAGACAACACTACTGCGGTGCTTAGATGTGAATTATTCGACAAACTCAATCTCTCCACGCGTATTCACACCAACGCAACCGTTACACATTTTTCAAAACTGTTTGATCACCTTACCTTGTTTGAATCCTTTGCACAACGGAGATGACATGATGTATGTATGTAGGTAGGTAAACGTCTCAGTGCGCGGAGTTTATCTTGCATAAATGCATGCTCTCCCGTCGACAATGTTGCTAGGCCAAGAAAAATAAGAACAGATACTGAGGACCATTCGAAGATCGCCATTCAGCTCTGCTGTCTTGATTACGATCGCATCATAAGTCGTTAAGATAAGAAATTTCCGCAATTCTTATTCTGGAAACACGCTGACATGTCACTTTTCTTCCTACCCTGTTCCTACGGGGTTCCGCTGTGTTTTCGTACTCATTCCTCCCTCGGACAAAAAAGTAAACAAAGAACAGGAACTCGTACCAGGCTAGTTGCGCAATGAAACATTTTTGAGTTATTTTTTTGTAAAAAAAAATACCTCTTAGTCGGCGCGTCGGGTATGTTATGGACGGGTCAATGGGTGAGTGAGTGGGTGAGTGAG